CGGAAATGAACAGTCACTAGACATGTATGTAAAAGAATATTTCCATTAATAATACCGCCGTAATAGACGCAGTTTGACTGAGCCAGTTCCGTTGCTGGTACAGAGTTCTAGTAAGTTTTCTGCTAACAAGCAAAATTTTTGCTTATTGTAGAAAACGCAGTTTACCGCCTGTGAGTATTACTTTGTTGCATAAATAAATTAAACAAAAGATTCCCAGTGCATTATTGCGGACTGACCTGAAAAACTTGTAGAAAAAATAATATACACACTAACACTACCCATACCTACGTAGGTAAATCAAAATTTTATTAGCATATAATTTATTTTTTTAAGATTGATACTATCAACGATATCAGTAAACACAAAATGATCAAACGGCGAATGACAAAAATGTTTACTTACTTTATAACATGCAATGTATTCATCGTTATCATATAAACTGAATATTATTTAAAAAAAAACTAAAGAAGCAATAATTTCCTGAAGAAATATATGTTTTTCTTCTGAATATATTATCACTAAATATTAGGCAGAAACTTTTGAAAAAGAAGAAGATGTGCGGAAAGAAATCCAGTCCAATCAATAATGTTTTTTTATTTCGTTTAGTGTTGATCAAATATTCTGAAAATCAAATTGAAAAATTAAATATATCTTGATATCTGTATTTAGGAGATTATTAAAAACCAAGTGCTCTAGCTGGTCCATGTACTTCTGGATGTATCATTTTCTTTAGAATTCAGTTAAATAAATACATACTTTCTTGCAATATCCTCATTACAAATAAAAAAATTTATTAGGATTGTTGTTGCACTCTGAAAATTCGAATTGTTGTGGAATTGTGGCAGATGCCAAAAAGACCAAGAAACATTTTTTATTTAAAATTGAAACTGTCAAAATAATTTAATCATTTTGTAAAAATAAATACTAATAATTACAAATTTCCATTAATTAAACTTGATCATTTGTATCTCGAAGATGAAGCATTTTTGGAAAAAATATTCGTGTGGAACACATTAGTTATTTTGAAAAGTAGTCACACATTCTTGTATCCCACGTTATATCTGATTCACCCTGTAAGAATGACATTACTAGAACTCTTATGAGACACCGTGTATATAAATACAGGGTGTCTCATGATTACTAACTGTATACATTGCGATGGCAGAGTGAAACAACTTACCAGAATAACAATTCCTGAATCAATTTGTGTGGATATACAGGGCGATCGATACATTTTCATTAAAATTATATTGTCTATAGCTATTGGACTATTTGTGAGAAATGATTTATGTTTGATATAAGCAAAAGACTGCTTGCCAGAATACGGAAATTAAAAACGGAATTTAAAAAGATCCTTTATTTTGTGACCAGTTAGAAACAATTCACTCTGTATAATATTTCCATTATTTCATATAGCATATTTAAAGTTCGGTGACAGAAAGAAGATATTCATTTTAGTTTTTAGTTGCACTTTCCTCTGCAAAGAAACGAAAATCAGTTCTATAAATTCTCTTTGCTAAAATAATATTGAAAATGATTTTTTATTCACATTTATGGTCAAGTGTAATATTAATACTTAATGTTTTTATTTTTTTTCATTCGTCTATGTATACTGTTCCTTTTATCTTCACCATATGTTATATACAGGGTGATTCACAAATGGTAACCAAAAATGAAACCTCGTATTTTTTGGTGAATTTTAAGGGAAGTTTTTCTTATAAAGTTTTTATCTAGGACGTTTCGTTAAAAAGATACAGGGTGTTAAACTTCAAAAAATATTTTTAATTTCTTTAAATAGTTTAAAAACTAGTAAGTGAAATAATTTGAAATTGGGCACTTGTGTTTATGTAAACATTGTCCAAAATATGAGGGCTTTTCCTAAAATTTACATGCTCCAGTGGCGGAGATACAGGGTATCGGTGCCATATTTTTTTAAATAAAATAGTACGCCACTGCTTTACGGTAACAATCATGATATTTTCGGATTCGTCTTTCAATTTTCTGCAAATTACTTCTCTCTTATGTTTTTCGAAAAAAAGCCTGATTTTCGAGTAAAACTTAAAAAACCAACTGAAAAAGTTTTACTTAAATGACATGACAAGCACTAATCATTCGGTTATTTATTCGAATAAAGAAATTAAAAACATCAGTCGTCATTTTAATGATTTTATTTGAGTAAACGCTCAAAAATACCTCGTTTTTCCACGAACACAGGTCCGACATCTTTTTAGTAACGAAAATGTAGTAGGTTCGAAATTTATTGTTGCTTGAATCTGATCAAAAGCATTATTTATTCTTTCTTCTAACTGCTCAGAATGGCAAAGTTGTTATCGCAGCCCACTATGTAATTTTAAAAAGCATTATATTTGAATATCGAAGTGTGTTCTTAGTTCGTTCCAAAGAATATGAGATTTCATTTTTGATCACCATTTGTGAATCACCCTGTATACCATATTCAATTCTATATGTACTTATACCTTATACCCGTCCATCATATAAATTTTCCTCTGTATTTTATAGGATGTTGACAAAATAGTTGTTGACCTTCTCTTATGAGAAGTTGATTTGAATTAGTCTTATTGCAAGAACTTGTTTTTGCATAAATTTGTTGATCTGATCTGAGGCTTGACTAAAATTTATATGGTATTAATAGGTATCTTAAACACCTAGGTCTGTAAATAATTTTATGGGGAATAGCGAGATGGTTGAATTGACGCAAAAAGGGAAATTGAGCATATTTACTAGTTTGGTATATTTTTCGAAAAAGGCTTAATTTTCTTATATCAGTTTTAACATTATTTGAGATTATTTTTTGTAGAATACACATTCGTAAGGCGTCGAATTTGACGATTCCATCATAATAGCGAATAGCAGTTTGAAATAACTTTGTAAGGAAAAAAGTGAAAGTGCAATTTACCATCCCTAAAACTACGCCCCTGTATTTAAAAAAAGTGTGGTGATAACACACACGTTTGTGTGCCTACATACGTTTGTTGGCAGTCAAATACTAAACCTGTATAGCAAAATTTAATTAAATCGCTTTAGTAGTTTTCTTATAAGTTAAAATAATTACCATTTTTGCTAAACTTAACATTGCAGCTAATAAAGTTTTGCCAAATAATTATGTACACCCTGTATCTCTAATTAGAAAATGATAAATTTTCTGTAAATCGATTTGAATCAATGTAGGTTCCATTTGCTAAATATCACAGGCCACAGGTTCTCTCGCAGGGCTCTGTATTTCGAAAGTGCCAAAATCATTTTTTTAATTTGGAATTTCCTAGCTCTGTCGCAAGATTTATTGCTACACCGAATGCCAGAGCTGCATAGTCAACAGGAAAATATTGAGTTACAACGGTGCAATGGTCGTTAACCTTATCAGCTTACGTACCAGTACAAAAAATATTGCCAATTTTGAAATAGTACGCTTGTTTCCTGTTGTGCGTTGACTAGGCAAAATTTATTTATGTTGAACCTGTATCGAGTTCAAAAAATTTACTGAAAAAGTAAACAATAATTACGTCGATAGAATGTTGCACATACCGTTCCACGTTTCAATGACATTTCAAACAATACTCAAATCGGAATCACTTTAAAAAGTTGCTTATTGGCGAACATTTTCGTAATCTTCAGATGTTTTTTTATTTATTAGATGTATATGAAACAATACAGTCCGCAGAGTAGTTATTTCCAATAGTGTCGTTAGTCAAAGACAATTAATGCTGTATATTATCGAGTTATATTTCAAAATATTTTTTCAATGCCAAAGGCCTTAAGGCTCTAAAATCCTTTACAACTTTAGTTTTTATCTTGTTTAATTCAGTTTTTTTCAGAAAATATATCTTAATTTTAAATAATTTTTACCTAACAATTTTTTGGTTCAATGCATTACTGAGAAATTAATACCTACAGTTCACCACATTCATTTCAATAAATTGTACAATTGTAGATTGCATTCGTACATCAGTTAAATGCAATATCTCTCGAGTATCAATAAATGAATTAGATAACGCAATAATCAATCTCAAGGTTCAAAAATATATAGTGGTAAGTTTTAATATGATATTGTTTATTCTCTCCCTTTGGTATTTGTCCAGCTGTCAAAAATGTTAATTAGCAACTTTTCGAAGTCGTCCGATTAATTTTTTCTATAAACATTTCAGAAAAGTTACTGTTTTTATTGCAATATTCTACTCGTACTACTTTGGAGCCATCGTCAGCAGAACTGACTCAGACCGCTATAAACAGGAAATAATTGATTTTCGGACCTACCTACTGTGGAGACTTTTGATCGGTAACACAAAACCAACAACTTACCACAATTTCAGGCAATTTGAAGGAGCCCGTGTGGGGTCCTTTTTGATTTACATTGATGGCAAAGATTCTTTAGTTATCCCTGTTAATTCAGTGGGAATAAAATATGTTTAGGAGGATAGAAACTATGTTTATATGAGAAATAATTTTATTGATTTAAATTTTATCAAATTTAATACATGGGTACTTTTAATAAACCTTTCCTAACTATAGGCATCGATTAAAATTATTTACAAACTTGAATAGGATACTTACATATTATGTAAAAAATCGTATGGCCTGCTAAATAGAGTACATCTAAAACTTACAAACAAAATTCAGCAGTAAATATTACTTGAGGTCCAAATACATACCTACGGTAAAAAACACTATGTTACATGTTTATGTTTAAAAATTATCAAATCAGTATACCTAAACCTACATTGCGAGTATTTTTAGTAGGTATATAGTTGGACCAATACTTACTAAATTTTGAGAAATGTTTTTCCAAGTTTTCACTTAATATACACATTGTTAGGAGTAATATTTTTGCATTTGAGCAGTAGAAAATAGTATAAATAGAATAACTTTCAGTATTTCGTTTCCTTACTTTCTGCCTTTTTCCATGATGTTCAAAGTGAAACCTTTGAAGTACATAGATCTTGACTAGTTAACCATAGTAACTGTCTCGTGATATTTCATTTTTCATTCCCAAGCAAAGTTTGGGTCAAATTAACTTATAAAAGCAGTTTTTCCCATAAAATACCAACCCAAGTAGAATCTGAAGTTAGACGCCAGGTTGCAAAGCAGTAGTGTTGCCAAAAACGAAATACAAAATTAAAAACAATCGTCCTAGTTTATGAACAGGAGGTGCAGCGTACTAGTCCGACTTCATCACAGTTCATACATTTTAAGGCAACGAATTCCGCTGTGAAGTGGTTTCTATGCACCGATTTCTTGCTTCCGTTACAAATCTGGCACGGCAGAAGTCTGAAGCCTCCGCAGACTTTGCAGGTCGTACAAACGTCCATACTCTGGAATTAATGAAAAATGTTAAGTAATACTGATCAAAATACACAATTGACTCCAATTTCAATACTGATTTTTTACTAACGGTAAATCTGGTTCTGTCGGTCTTTGTTTTAATTAATCTTTTATTTTAATGGTCTCTAACGACCCTGTGCTAAAAACTTTTAACTTTAAATGTTAAGGCGTACAAAAAGTAATTTTTTTTTCTCGAAATTGCAAACACTGTGAGGTGTGTTAGCTAAAATAAAATATCTCTTTGAATCAAACTGTAACGCCATTTTTTCTGAACAATTTATTTTTTGATATACAGGGTGTCCGTAAAGGTCATGTCAAAAATGAAGGAGTATACAGGTGAGGTCAAAATAGTTGTAGTACTTCATGAGCATTTTTTTCCTATCGGGCTTCCTTGTGGAGTTATTCGCCTTCAAAGAAAGAAGTTTGACAAACATATTCCAATTATAACTTCTAAGTCGTTACGTTACCATGACAACGATGAAATTTGGGTAATTATAGTAACTCATGGTATACTGTATACTCCTTCATTTTTGATATGATCTTTCCGGACACCCTGTATATACGTCATTATCTCTTTTATTAATTGATATACACAGTTAAATTAAATACGATTTTACTTAATTAAAAAGCTTAAACATAACAAAAATAAAAACAAGAAGAAATAACAAAATTAAAAATTAAAATTAAAATCAATCGACACTTCTACTACTAACTTCAACTTCAAAGGAGATATGTGGAGGTTTTTAGCTTGTTTACTAATATTGTCGGAGATTTATGTCATTGTTGTTACTATCATATCCCAATTGTTTAAATTACTACAATAAACTGGTGTGCTTTAATTTAACTGTGTATTGTGCAAAACCGTACTTATCTTATCAACTTCCACGTCACCTGTTACATGAGTGTTGTATAAAAATGAAAACGTAATATTGACAGTTATAAGGAAGCACAAAAAAACAAGCACTTAGGTAGGGAATGCTGGAAGGAAGTCTAAGTTAGTTGAAGATAGTCAGTTGAAGTGCGAACAGTGTGGAGATCGGCAGTAAGACGATCGGCGGGCAGTGTGACAAAGTAGTGTAAAATTAATTGTTTAAAGTGTTATTAGTTAGCAGGTAATATTCTTTAAGTACTTTGTTGTTAATTGTTCTATGTAATTTTGTGATTGTGATGGTTATAGATGTTTCATGATAATGATTCTGTATATGTTTGGCCTTCATTGTCTTACGCTCAGGGGCGTGTATTTTCCTAATATAAAGTTGTCACAATTATTATTGGAGATTGCTCATTATTTATTACATGTTAAAATATGTATATTGTCGTGACTGCCCAGATATAGCAATAGCAACTTCTTTGTTTCACATTTAACTTGTTTTATCATGATTAGGTTGTTCTTTGATTTCTTGTGCTTACTTTATGTCATACGTCTATACGAGCCTTGTTGAGTTTACTAACATTTTCGCCCGTGCGGAACGAATCTGGATTAAGCTCGATTGCCTCCCGTATGGGACTCCAGTGTTATGAAGGATCTTCCGAAATCTCAACTATAGCTGGATTGCCTCCCGTATGGGACTCCAGTACCTTCCGGCTCTGCCGGCTAACTAACACCAAACCTCTTCAGTTTTACTTGGAAGTGTGTATGACTAATATGAGGTAACAGATGACATTTAGTGACACATTAAATGAGACAGGACTTATTTATCATTAGCAAAGGTTCTTAATTTATACCTTTGGTTAGCGGTTGTTTTGCATACATATTTGGGTGGTAAGAGCAACGATCGTGGGTTTCTCTGCCATGCTCTTTCCCCACAGGAGCTCTAGGTGAGCCTGGCACTCTCCTTTTATGTTTAATGGTTGTTAATGTTTTTGTTGTTCTTTCTATTTGTCACATGTTTAATTTGAATTGTATGTAAATAAAGGTTAGGTGTATTTACTCTGCTTTTGTTTTATATAATTAAACCATACATCCCCTCTACAAAGTTAGTAGCCAGTGCCTTCCGGTCAATTAAAAAAATAGATACACACAACGTAGGTAGTCCTTATGACGATCACATATTTTTGGCCACAACTACGTTTACTTATTTTTTTTGTCGAACCTAGGGTTGTTATACTACAGTATATCAATTAACAGTTAACCAGCGTCGCTTTAAAATTTTGGGAGAAAAAATGCATTTCCTTTTTCGTCCTGTATACGCTAAACTCTTAAGTTTCAATAAAAACTGGTATTTCAGCGTTATAGTTGAAAAATAAACCTATAATTCGAAAAAAAGATCAACAAAATTAGATTAGCTGTTCACGAGAAAATCAACTTTGAAATTGGGCCCCATTTTTAGTAGTGTGTTAAATTTGATGAGTTTATTTCATATGCGTAGTAAATGTGAGTTGTGAGTTAGTTTATTCTGAAATAAAAAAAAAATGTCACCGTAGATTTGAGTCGAATGTTTTTGTGAATACAAAAAATACGTACCTAAAACTGTTTAATACCAATTTTTAAGTAAAATATTTACTAGGTAAAAAATCTATCAACAGTTTTTTTTAATTAATAAATATTTGAATATAATTAAAACCATATAATTTGTTAAAGCTAATTAGGTTGTCGAAATAATAAATAATTTGTAATTAATTGCAACTATTTACGTTTTGCATTATTTTGTAAAAAGTTATCATCGAGTCACTCACCTTAAAAGGTTTTAATATTCTTCTTAATTCCCCGGTTTCATTCAATCTTTCTATTGTTTCAGCATCCTGTAAACAACAAGAATATGTAATTACATAATGTGTACACTTCATCGAGAAATTTAAGTGAAAGACACTGCGTGAATTTTATTAATTAATATTTGTTGACTTTAGTTTCGTTTTGGTTATATAACTGATAATTAAAAATTTCAAATGATTCGTCATAGTTTAAAGCTATTGTAAAATTGTAAAGAAATTGGCCAGTCAAGTACTAATATCGTTAATAACGAACGTATTTAGTATTTTTTAAAAGCGACAAAATCTTCATTTCAATAGATATAACGTTTTTTTAAAATGAGGGCTTTAAGGACAAATGTTTATATTAGAAAATATTCCTAAATCTGGGCCAGTAACACCCTCCTTCATTTTCAACATGTCATTGTGCTACACCTTGTATATTCTTAAAGCATTACTAATAAAGGTGAAATCAAAATGCACGTCGCGTTCATCTTGACGATGCATCGCATCCTTCATTAAACACCTGTCCCAGATTGTCATACCCCGATGTGTTGACCGTCGACGAACATCTGCGGCACCAAAATGTCTTTGCATTGCATGCGCTCCTGGATCTCCGCCTGGTACTCCGAGCTCATGAACACATCCCTCTCCTCGTATTTCACCAGAAGAGTCCGCAGGATCTGCTTCACTTTCATGCAGGCCTGGTACGTCTCTCGGACTATGCCCATTGTCGTCGTGTACACGACCACTTTCCCAGCCTCTTTTTCTTTGTAGTTCTAAAATGAGAAAATTATTTAACAGTTTGAATATTCCGTTTAATAAAATGCACCAAACTATACAATTTTTTTATAGTCCTTTTCAAAACTGCGTAAAATATTTACAGTTCGTTCCTGGATTTTGGTTTTCATTTCTTGCGATTGCCAACATAGTGAGAAAAAACATGACAGAATTGCCTAGAACGGGGGATTTTCCTTCAACCGCAAAAAAAATTGAAAATTTGTTTGTTTTGGGGAGAGAGTCAGTTCTGACAGTCTGCCACATCGCTGTTACGCCCTGTATAATTGTTGAGAACCACTCATTTAATTGTAATTATTGTATCACCTCAATTCCAGGATTCATAAAATAATGGACCTGTTTTTTATGTACCAAATCCGGAAAGTTAACAATATTTTATACTGAACATTCGAACGAATTTGCGGCGCTCGTGCTAGAAGTCTGCCGTACAATAAAAACATTTTCCGGATATGTTACAGCAACCGTTTTTCTGCAACAAAATAATTCGAAACTAATTTAGAAATTAATTATTAAATTACCTACCGCTTGAATGATTATATTTTTCGCCAAATAATATTATTATCTGAACTAGTGCGAAAGATTATTATTATCTAGTTCTAGTAATAATTCTATATCGCGACGTTTCAAATTATAACTGTATTAAATATTAATTTGAAATAAATCATAATAATTGTGCCACATAAGTATTGCAGGCAATAAGGTAACTTTTACTTTCATATATTATTTTTCTTATGATAATACTACCCAATTACTACTAATGTATGGTTGTCAAATTTTTAGAGTGTTAATTAAGAAAAATATAAAAGATATACCCCCCAAAGTGGGGGCCTAAATTTCGAAAAAAATTAATATCTCTGCAACACTTAACCGTAGAAGAACCAAATTTGGTACATAATTTAGGTTTACTACTGGTCTTCTTGGACTATGATTTAAAGTTAATTGAAGCACTTAAAGGTGTTCATTGGGGATGACTCACCGCTAAAATTGTACCGAACTTTTTTTTATTAACTGAATTAAAAAATAGTAATATTAATTCACAGCATAATTGAATTTAAATTTTTTTTACTCTTGTTAAGTTTTAAAAAACTTAATAACAGACACAAGATTTTAACAGTGTTCATTAGAAAATAAAAGTCAGTAGTAGGCTTTATCTTTCAAATTTGACAATTGGCCAAATAAATTTTACTTCACTTCTCTCCTAATTCTACAAAAGAAAACAACTATGTACTTAGGTAGTTTTTAAATAATCAAATATTGTATTAAGTACATTAATTAAGAACACAAATAAATAATAAACATAATAATTGATATTTTTTCAACAACAAACAGAGGCAATTGTTGAAATAAAATATTTTTATTACTAACTGACAAGTTTGAAACATAAATTCATTGCCTACCACTGACTTTTCGATTATTTTCTAATAAACACTGTTAAAATCTTATTTCAGTTAATACGGTTTTTCTTGAAAACCATAAAGTATTTTAAAATTTAACAAGAGTAAAAAAAATTTTTAAATCAAGTTCTGCTATGAATTAATATTATTACTTTTCAATTCGGTCAATGAAAAAAAAGTTCGGTACAATTTTAGGGGTGAGTCATCCCCAACGAACACCTTGTAGTGCTTCAATTAACTTTAAATCATAGTCAAAGAAGACCAGTAATAAACCTAAATCATGTACCAAATTTGGTTCTTCTGCGGTAAAATGTTGCAGACATATTAATTTTTTTCCAAATTTAGGCCCCCACTTTGGAGGCTAATAACTCCTCGGGGGTGCAACTTTGTATATAGGTAAGTTTGGTTAAATTACAATGTTTTGGACACCTCTACATGTAGCTGCCTTTTATCGGTTCTTATGCGGCATAACCTGTATTTACACATGTTAATATTAAATATCTTTTCCCACATAACTAATTAACATAAAAGTGCTACTAATTTATAACCGTGTAATATAATATCAAAATGTGAGCACCAAATAGCTCATTCGGTTCAGCTGGTCTCTAGTTGTTAGGGGAAGTACTCCTTCGCGTTGCAGCAGTTCCTATTGAAGGAAAAAAGTTTGGTATAAAAATATTAGAGCAACATCACATAAAGTATTTACAGTTAAATACAGGTTGGAAGGTAAAGGAGGCGAGTGTGGGTACACACGTCTGCAAGTGACCCATTAGGGTATTAGGTTACAAGCGCCAGCCTGACACCAGATCGGTCTAACCATAGAAACATACACTATGGTCACGGAAAAGAACCACGGCAGATTGGCGAAAGGGACTGAATACGTATACTTGCGAGCGACTCCACAAGAGGAGTTTTCAGCGACAACATTTCTTTTCTAATGATTTTGGGTAAATTAAGCCAGTAAATTAAAGTAGAAACGGATGAACTGTGGTGATATACAGAATATCCAGAGCAAACAACCAAAGACATCCATGAGATAAATTTACGTTTATCAATATGTTTTCGTTTGGATATTCTTATAAATAGAATTGGACTAACTTGAACCTTCTTTCTCTGTACCAAGACAAACCTTATATCTTCAATATTAAATCAAAACCAATCTCTGAAAGACTGTAAATTACCTACCTTTCCAGTACTGTGAATTTGAAGAAACGTGGCAATCCCAGCGCGAACCCTGTTCTTAACACCCCTCACCGTCCCCTTGGCACTACGTATGGTAGCAGCACCGCCATTAAGCATGTCCTTATACCCAGCGAACGTCTCGTCCTCCACCACGGTCTGAGGCTTAACGTTAATCACGTGTTCGTTTATGTGAAAATTATAGAACATGTCAGCAGTAAACTTCTTTTCTATTTTCTCCTCCCTCTCTTCTTTCTTTCGTTCCTCGTAGGATTTCTCGATGATTACCGGCGGAGGTTCAGCGGGAGAGAGTTTCTTATTTCTCTGCCTGATGTCCTGAAGCAACATTTGAGGTAAATATGAGGACTTGTCTGATTCGGAGGAAACGACGGTCCGGATGTTCACTGGGGATATTTTGCCGCTGTTGAGGGAGTCGCAGCTGATGTTGCTCTCATCGTCGTCGCTGTCGACCTCAGCTCCGCTGCTGGAACTTGGCGCCCTCTTGTGCGACTCTGAAAGGAAACTGGCGTATTGAATTGTGAAATTTTACAAATAAAGTGGCGATTCAAAAAATACAAAAAAAACAGCTACAAAAAGCTTTGTTTTTGTCAGTGGATACTTCGATTAAATTTTTTACACCCTCTGTACTTAACCCCTTCAACTGATTTTTTTCATTTTGATATAAACCATATCTTTTCAATAATTTTGATTATCCTGTATCCCGAAACCGAAGTTCTTCGAAACATATGTTTACAGAAACTTTCTTTGTTCATTTATGACATAGGATTCGTCATTAGGGTTTGTCCAAACATTTTCACCCTGTACACTTACCTATTTTGGCTTAAATTTCTTAAAATGCATGCTTTTTAATTCGCAAGCAGCTGAGATAGATAAATAGGATATTGTCATAGACAAAATATACTTAACAGGCAAGATATAGATTCTGAAACGTTTGAATTAAGGTCAACACTAATTAATAAATAATTCATTAAAATGTTGTATTAGATAGTTGCCTTTTAAATTTAATATTTCAACACGTATGGGAACTAAACAAAAAGTAAATTTCTCAAGCAGATATGAAAACATTCATGTTACTAAAAAGTAACTGTAATCGCAAATCCCAAGAGTTTAAGCATTGTAATATAAAAAAAATATTATTAACCTCTTAAAGAGAATAAGATACATCTTAGTTGTCGATCAAATGAAAATTGTGAAGAAATGCAAAATGTGTTTCAAAATTAATAATATACATACGTATATGAAGTCTGGAGGAATTAGTAGACATTCCTCTTCCATCTAAGATCGAATACAATTACAAAGAGTGCATTATTTTCGTTCCATATCAATTATAGTTTGATTTTTAAATACAACGTGTGTGATGAACTATGCAACTGATCACTGGAAAATTGACACCACTTAACTTAATAACGCCTTAAAAGTATTGAACATATGACTCCACCACGAGAATTTGCAAACTGTCTCTGAAAAATACAAGAAGTACGTAACTAATTGGGGTTGTCTAAATCAATTCGAATACATTGAAATCGACCTTCATCGCTGTTAACTTTTAAGTTACCTTCTATTTAATTCATTGTTACATTCTTAACAAGGAATGTACAACTGTTTCAACACATCGGAAGATAAACTAGGTATCTAGTTGCTACTGGATGATTAGTGTAGAAAAAATGATCACCTATATGTAGGTACGTACAATAAAAAATTCCGTTTGATGAGATTTGTGATATAATAACTTAAATTTAAATAAAATGGAACTTATTTTGGTAAGTTGTTTTTGCGTAAGCAAATGTCATGGTAGTGAATGTAATCAACCACGAATCGTAGTAGAAACGATTAGGAAAATTCTCCACAATGATGATTTTCGTACTTTTAGATGTGGTATATCCTTTAAAGTTACAATTATTTAATAATTACCATATATGCAGGCAATTATTCTCTAAACGAAAACTCCTTTCAAATTTTTTATCAAATACATCGATCAAGAAATTGGAAAGTTATGCTGATATTGGTACATGAACTGAAAGGAATTATTATACATGTTTTTTACATACGTTATTCGGCAACTTTTATGCATAAAATTCATACAATCGTGTATTATTCAGTAGCAGTGTCTTTGGTTTATGGCTGAACGATTTCAGGACTGGTTGCCACGTCATCGGTTTTTGTTTTTTGACTTGATTTGCTTTGCGCATTTAAATACCAGACTCCAGAATTTTGTTGATTTTTCATTAACAGAAGTTTTGAAGAAATCGCTTTACCCGAAAAAGTAATAACAAATTATTAACATAAAAAATATACCTAACTGACTGCTTTAATATTGAATTGTCTAAAAAGTATCGTAGAAATTTGTATAGTCTTCCCGAAGTCGGGTGAACTTGTATAAAAACGCCTAGCGATAAAATTTAATGAGTTTCATAGGCGTCCCTAAAAAGTTTTCTCCTAAAGGTAAAAAATTATAATAATTTGTATATAATGTGTAGAAAATTTCTATTATATGCTCATTTGACCAACAACACTAATTATTTATGTCCTTAAACAATTTTATTATATCGATGGTAAATTTCGTTTTGTTCCGTTTCAAAAGGTCTTCAAAATGCCATGTTATAATAATATTAGTAAAAAAAATATCCCTCGTATTTCTCCCTGTCGCAATTAATATGTTTGATTAATAGAAGGTGTCTATAATAAATTAAAATTCCCTATATCACATCAAATTCCGCATTGCTGCACTGCATTGCTAGGCAATTTGTCAGCTACTTGTCAACAGCTAAGATTTATTGCCCTGCCGCCCAGTTCGGCTATCTGTGTACGCCGTTTGACCGCGCGCGCATTCTTCAACTGGGCGTATAAATTTCCATCGCCTCCACGTTTAGTTCGACCAGACCTGTATATAGGTATGACGCTAAATAAATATGGGAACAAGTTTTTCAAATATTTCAATGCCGAGTTGCTGCGTCAGCGACCAAACCTGGTATATACTGCCAACCTCTTGGTTGTTCAATTGAGATCGGAAAGACTATACCAGTATTCTTATGAGTAAAAGCGCTCCTTAAATTTGTTGCACTTTTTTTGGAATCACCCTGTATATTAAAGTACTGTGAGATTAAGTAGGTAGTGTTTTCAAATAAAAAGTTTGGACATTTAAGTGCTCCTTTTGTAAATTTAACTATGTACAATTTAATGAAATTGACATCTAATTGGATGTTACCAAGGGATTTACTTAAAGTTCATATTCCCATAGATATACCGAAGTGACTAAACGATAAAATGTTAATTTTGTAATTTTACTTTCGTACAATTCTTTCAAATATATAACCAAAACCCCTCTTCGCACAATTTCACATTTATGCTTATTAATTTTGTGATGATGGGTTTTGATTTCTTTTAAGTGCAAATAATTGAGGCACACATATCTCTTTTAAAATGTTTTCACATGTATGCCTACGAAAGTGTAGATAATTATTGGTTTGTATTCCGCAATCTCCTAATTGTTGTTTTCTTGTAAGACTAGTTTTAATATAAACATGTAGCTGGCTAAACAACAAAAATGGTAATGGATTTTTTTTACCGGGTTTGGTCTGGTAAGGTTCCATAGTAACAGAATGTTTTATTAGCTTATAGAGCGCGATTGATTCGATACACACATGCATGCTATTTTTATTTCTTGTAAGGTCTCTAATTTTTAAGAATAACTGTTACGGTTTCGTAAATACACATTTTTAATGTCATTTGTTGGTTCCAAAAGCGTACGTACGTCTTTTCTTAAGCAGCGTTATATAAGTGACGTAAAAAAAACAAACGTGAAATTGTATACCACAAAAGCAGATTCATCTAATGTTATTCTGAGGTATAATTGGGATATCTGATGCGATATTCAGTTTTGTCAAATACCATGACTTGTCTCTTAATTTGTTCCGCTTTCGTTTTGCATAGAAATTCAAGAAATGTCTGTCGGAACCGTTACTCATGCAATGATAAGTCCGTAGACCTTCCAGACATTCATCTTCGTTAAAACTGTAAAAATGAATATGAATAATATCTGAGAAAGCGTCAATTTTTCGCAATAGTTAGTTTTAATGCTGAAATTGTATTCCAGTATTATATTTCGAAATACTTCATTGGTTGGTATTTCAAAAACCGTCAAAAATAATTTGAGTTATACCTACAATTATTATGTTCTTGTGTAAATTTACTAAAATAAAGCTTAACTTAACAGTTAATAACTGCCAGAGATCATTTACTAATAACTATTTGAACATTTGCTACTTTCTGAAATTCAAATGATGTTTTCTCACAATTAGTTTACGGTTTCTGGAATGTAAATGAAACTTTCTGAAATGCGATTAACTAATCTGAATTACAAATAGCACCTACTTAAATATCTTTAAAAGTAGATGTATGGGCGGTTGCAATGAACTTCAAATAGTATACTCATGCATGTGTATAAGATTTTTTAAATAATTTTGGTTAGTATTTGATTCATCTGCCCAGATATCTTTGGAATGTCACCTACGAAATTCACGGTTAAGGATCTGAATAAGTTCAATTCAGTTTATCTATGTTTATGCATGTCATCCATCCTTACATAACGTAAAGTGATATAATCTATGTAAATAAAATTATTTACATTTAATCCCAACATGTAGGATGGTGGGGATAGTCTTTAGAATACGTGGAATTTATTGTTATTGTTATTGTATTGGTATCATTATAACGAACTGTTCGGAAAAAAACAAAGTAACTTCGGTAGCTTTATTTTAAGAAGTGCTAATGTATTATGAGTTATAAAAATGTTTATTGACAAACGGAAAATTATTTAGACGTCAAGAAATATTTCAAAATGGATTCTCGGAATATATTGTATTTATGTCTCTGATACTTCATCAGTGAAATTCATGTAATTTCTTGTTACTTTAACCAACAGCATAAGAAATTACACTTTTAAATCCAAAAATATTTGGAAACATTAGAGTGTACATTATAAAAATACTAATTGACGCAGTAGCAGAGATATTTTGTTTACTTTAGGTACTTTAGAAACATTGCTATAACGTCGTATGTATATGATTAAAATACATACTATTTTGCATAAAGAATCAATATTGATTAACTAGAAAAACTTGTAATATGCTCGTAAGCATTAGCATGTATTGTCACATTCAATTCCTACAAGTATGCAAAAGTTTAAACAAATATTAATAGATTTTTTTTACCTACTGTAAAGGCAAATACACGATATGTTCTAGGATTCTGATAGACGTAATCAATTTACGTTTCGTTGCTATTAAATCTAGTATATTGTAGATTTACACTCAAACGGTTACCAACTTCAAAACAATAATTATATCTATTAGAGAAGGTCCATCCAAATCTAGAAAAAAAAAATTCATTTTCCGAATAACTTTTCGGATAAAACCTGACAGATACCTTCCAATTCCGACGCCACTGATTAGTTTTTAAAGAATTTTTACATTTACGTAGCAACTATGAGAAA